AAAAACGGCAAAAATTTTGGCCGTCGACAGCCGCTTAAAAACCCGACCAGCGCTATTCTTCTGTACCATACATACGCGTCCACTTTCGCTGAGCGCCACACTTGTCCTTGGTGCCAGTGTTTACAAGCACCCAGCCACACGCAGTCGCTTCCAAAAATACAACTGGAACATTTCATATTAAACAGCCTTTGTAGTGATTGCATCCTGCAAAATAAGTCACCATGGGCCCCAAGAAAGCTTCTAGTGCCAACCCTACAGCAAAAAGGGTGAGAATTAATATGGAGATGAAGGAAAAGATTCATGCAAGTATGAAAGTGGAGGCATTCTCTGAGCTGGTCAGTGGTATAATAAATCCCTAATCAACCATCGCTACTATTGTGGGCAAGAAACGGAAATCGAGGAAGCAGTTTCTTGCCAAAGGTGCAAACATGTTTTCGAAACTGAGATCGCAAGTGAAGATGATGTTTGAAGACTTTATTTGGTGTGGATAAAACAGAAACAGATAGGCAGGAGACAGCATCTCTTCAGCGATCATATGTGAAAAGGCTAGGAATTGCATGACGCTTAAATGACAAAAATGCCAGCAACTAGTGATGTGAGTGAATTAAGGCCAGCAAAGTTTGGTTTGAGAGATTTAAGAAGCGTAGTGGCATTCGTAGTGTGATAAGGCAAGGTGGGCTGCCAGTTCGGACCACAAATCGCTGAAAAATACGTCAGGACTTCAAGGAGTACATAGACATTGAAGGACTGAAACCGGAACAAGTGTTTAATTGTGACGAAACAGCCTGTTTAGGAAGAGAAAATCCAAGCCAGGACGTACAATTACTCAGGAGGAAAAGGCACCTCCCAGGACATAAGCCTATGAAGATAGGCTTTTACCTCTGTTATTTTGCCAATGCTATTGTGATGCAAAGTGATAGCCTTTATTGGGTATCACTCTGAAACTCCCCAGAGGTGTTCAGGAAAAACAATGTCCTCAAGGCTAATTTGCTGTGTGCTGTGGAGGGCAAAAACATGGTAGGCATGGGCCACTAGGGACTTTTTCTATGACAGGTTTACACCATCATTTGCCCCCAATGGAAAAATTACCTAATTGAAAAGAAATTAGACCTAGTCCTCCTGGGAGTTAGACAATGCCCCCTGGTCATCCAACAGACTTGGCAGAGCGACCTTTCTAGGGACATGACTTCATTAAGGTGAAGTTTTTGCCCTTAATACCCTCCTCTCCTGCAGCCCATGACGCCAGCAGGTTATTTCCAACTTCAAGAAACTGAACACAAAAGCTATGTTTGAAAGGTGCTTTGTAGTGACCATCAAAAACTCAACTGACTCTAAGAGAGTTTTGTAAAAGATCATTTTACCATCCTCAAATTGTGTAAACATTATAGGTAAGGCTTGGGAGGAAGTGACTAAGAGGACATTGAACTCTCTTGGAAAAAACTGTTGCCAGAATGGGACAAAAGGGATTTCGAAGGTTGAGGCTAACCCCTGAGAATCCTATGCAAGTTGAGGAATCCCACTGTGGCATTGGGGAAGTCCCTTGGGGTTGGGAGGTTAGTGGGGAGTATGTGGAAAGTTGGTGGTGGAGACAGTGAAGAACTAACCACTGATGAGTGCTAGATCATCTTGAACAGCAAGAGGCAGACCTGAGGAAACTGCTTTCGAGGAGGGGAGAGAGAAATTGAAGAAGTTTGCCCTACTTCTACAGAAAAGGAAATGTGTGCAAAGTGGCTTGAAGTGCAAACCTTTCTTGATGAAAATCACCCTGACACAGCTACTGCAAAGCCGTGTTGGCAACCTGTACACTGACAATGTTGTGAACCACTTTAGGAAAGTCATAAAAGGAATGAGAGGATACAGGTATCTATGACAGTATGTTGTGCGACAAGAAGTCCAGTGGGACCTGAAGCTGGTCCTAGTGGCATTAAAAGAACAAGGGAAGTAACCCCAGAAAAAGACTTGCTGCCTCAAGTGCTAATGGAAGGGGATTCCCCTTCAAACACTAAGAAGATCAACGCCTCCCCCGCTCCCCCCCCCCCCTCCATCCCATCAATATCAACCGATCTTCAGTAAAGGTAAGTGTCATGTAACTGTGCATGTAATCTTCAGTTTGTGTGTATTAAAAATTAATATTCATGTGGTAAAAAAAAAATTTTTTTTTCAATACTTTGGGTGTCTTGCACGGATTTAATTTGATTTCCATTATTTCTTATGGGGAAAATTAACTTGAACTAACGTAATTTTGACTAACGATAGTCCTCAGGAACGGATTAATATCGCTGGTTGAGGGTCCACTGTATATGTATTTTTTATCGCTCTGGGGAGCTTTATTAAATTAGTATATTATGTGTAGGTGGGGTGGGGAGGGCTGCCCTGGTTGGCTACCATACCTCCCAGACCTGACTTCCCTACAATTCACTCCCCTCTCCACCCTGCATTAAGACTAAATATTATTGAAGGGTAAGTAATGGATAAACTGTGTGTATCCTACTTTTTATTGTTTTTAATGCTAGTTTCTATTGCCAACAAATATATGTACGTGTAAACTTGTTTACCTGGCAATTATATGCATTATATGCGCTTGCTTTCCAGCAATGTCTGCTTTCTGGCAGTAGCCCGGAACCCTAACCTGCCAAATAAAGTGGAGCCCTACTGTACAATTAGGCGAGATATACACACACAGGCAGACTGATAGACACAAAAGATATAGCAGAGCTACAGGTAACAGACAGAGACATCATGTTTGTGTTTAACAGTGAAAACAAGAAAAGCCAGGGTTCCTTGCAAGCAGTGTTTAATCATCAAGCGTCACTCCACTGCTTACCCTTGTCCAGCAGTTTTAGACTCGTCATAAACACCATGCATTCAGGAAGTGCTACATAATACTCCAGCAACTCTAAAACATTGCTGAAACCTATAAATACTTTGTATATATTTCTAGATACGTAATAGTAAACGACCAAGCCAGGTGAAAATATTCACCTTGTCGGTGGATTGTGACTATTTGAGTAACTATTACAGTACCTAATATCAAGTGTCAGAAACTAAGATTGGCTATGAAATCACAAGGACTATTGCAAATTGTAATTATCAAATATAAAATGATAATAAATTAAAAAAAAAACAAACAAAAAAAAAAAAAAAAAAAAAAAGGTAATCGCAACCTTTTGCAAGAGCAGGACTCCATGTTGCTGTCATGTGACATCCAGCGCCAACATTGGCGGTTTTATATCTTGTAATACTGGTCCTAAATTTTTTTTGGTCTTAAAACACAGAAAATTGCCACCTCTTAAAAAAAAAAAAAAAAAAAAAATATTTGAAACGCTGTGCGAGTATACATAGATCTACATTTGCACAGTTTAAGGTTAAAGAGGGTTGAAGATGGTGCAGATTGAATGGGCCATCTGAACTCCATGTCAGCTGCTTCTAGCAAGACAATGATGATGAATGAGATATTATGCAACATGTTGCACAAGTACCTCAATTAATCAACTTTCAGTTTTTCTACAAAATTTAAACAGCAATGACGATATGAGGGTAAATACATTTTTTTTGTATGGGCAACCTAACTTGATGGCAAATGACCAATACGTTTCAAAAAAAACTTTACCAACAACAGAAGTTGGGTGAAAGGAGCTTGAAAATATTTACTGAAGAGAAGTTGAGAGTGAATGTAGAAAAAAAGAGTAGATAAGAGAACTATTAACATCGTATTTATGGGCAGCACTAATCTCATAAGGTCATACAATACCTGGGAAATAGGTGGAATAGGTATAATCCAAAAGAAAGGAAGGTACTGCTAGTCCCTTAGATCAAAGCCAACACCATCATCATCCCAACACCCATTTAAGAAAAAAAAGGGGGAAGAGAAAAGAAAGTACATGTATTGGGAATGAAAATTAGGAGAATGTTAGAGCAATATATCAAACATATAGATTTAGCCGAAATATATCTGGTCCTACTTTATGGTCCAGTACTTAAATGCATTCTATATTTTAGTGCAAAAATTGCTTACTACTTGCTTAAATAGCCATCATACACAAAAATCAATGAAAAAAAAGTCGGCACAACCTGTAACAACAGTTTTATGAGAAATGCAAGCAATTTTGGGGAGTAATGATCACTGGGTGTGTAAACACCATTTCAAATTATGTCAAGCAAAACAGAATGATGGCTGCCTCAACATACCAAAAAAAATTTGTTTCAAGGAGAGTATGTCCACCCTTTCCCCCATATGAATAATATATCTTTCCATGTACTGAAAAGAAAGAGCCAGTTTCCAGGAGTATAGGGGGGTGTTATGGGAGCGAGCGCAGATACAGGACAGCATGTTGCAAATTAGTAAGCTTTGTTGGAATCTCAGGAATTTGGATGATGATCAAGTGTTCCTGTGGACAGATGTGCCAAATGCACATTGACCCCTTTGAACACTTACCTACATGTGTAATATGCCCCCCAGCTTTTCTTTTTAAAAGAGGCAATTTCCCACCACGTTACTAGTAACCCCAAAGAAGGAAACAATCAACTTGTCCTGTTCTTACCAAAGATCATACGTAAAAGGACATACCACCCGCCCACCTTCAGCGAAATCCAGCCACCCAACAGCCCCAACCCCACTCCTCAATGTTCCACAATAGTCCCTCTACTGATATGCAAATATGCCTGATACTGTATGTACCAATACAGTATGTATCGGACCAAGGACCAACCAAAGAACCACACAACCCCCTCCCCGACCCCCCCCCAGAGTACCAACGTAGTCCTCCCATGCAGTCCGACATACCAATATACGCCACGCCCAACAAGACAGACAATGTATAGTGCAGCAATTTAAATTTGAGAATCGTCACTAAAAACGGGGGATGCTAACCAGGATTATTTTGGTTACAGTATCCCTAAAATTTTTCAGAGAAAAAGGCAAAATTTACCGCTTTCTAAACGCCGACACCAATGGTATCATTGATATCCATTGTTTGCAGGTCGTGGAATCTTAGGTGGGCGTGGAGGTACATCTTTCTCTGTAGAAATATTGTTAGTCAGGGACTTCTGTTCCACTCTGCCAAGAAGTATATCTTCATCTATTTCAGTGGTTTCATTATGTAATTTAGTTATGTGTGGGTGCACAATCTTCTTCATCAGAAGTTGTTTGCCTCTCTGATCTTCATGATACACATCCTGCAGAGAAATGAAAAATCTTATTATGTACTATGGGCTCCAATTTTTTTTTTTAAATATATTGGCTGTCTCCGTTACCAATGTAACTTGTTCAGTTATCAAAACTTTGCAGTCCAGTCCCTGGACCCATTATGTGCCTCTGTAATCATTTGATTACACCCATATGATAGGTATGGGGGTGCATAATAAAGATATTAAACTGGCCATCTCTCACTAAGGATGGGTGACCCAAAGAAAAAAAAGAGCATATTTACTATCAATCATTCAAGTTACTAAAATTACTTTCAGCTTTAAGCCTGAGATTATACAGCACCTAGAGAATGAAGGGAAATCAGGTCTGATCCAAGGAAAGGAAAGTTAATTCAAATTCCTTACCAGCATCAAGGAATCACTCTGAATGGGTCTAATCACAAACTTTTTTTTTTTTTTTTTTTTTTAACAAGTCAGCCATCTCATTATATTCAAGGTAATGTGCTCAATCCATCGAGGTATCATGACTAGAAAAATAAGACAAAAGCAAAATGACACAAACCTACCTAACCCCACCCCAAACAAAAACACACAAAACACACACACACAAGCGCGCACACACAAAAAAAAAAAAAACTGGCAGGGAAGCCAGTTAATGAGATAATGGAATATGTAGCAACAATGTGCAAGGAGGCTGAGGAGAGGTTTGTACCCAAGGGTAACAGGAATAATGAAAAAGCCAGGATGAGCCCATAGTTCACCCAAAGGTGCAGGGAGGTAAAAATCCAAGTGTGCTAGTGAATGGAAGAAATATAGAAAGCAAAGGACCCAGGAGAATAAGGAAAGCAGTCGTAGAGCCAGATATGAATATGCACAGATAAGAAGGGAGGCCCAACGACAATATGAAAACGACATAAGCAGCGAAAGACAAATCTGAACCCGTAGCTGTTACACACCGCATCAGGAGGAAAACATCTGTCAAGGACCAGGTATCAGGCTAAGGAAGGAAGGAGGAGAGACAACCACGAAATACAGTATGTGAGGAACTCAACAATAATCAAAGAAGTGTTCACAGAGGAGACAAAGGGCTCCAGAAATGACGAAGGTGGGGGCACACCACCAAGTGCTGGACACCGTACACACAACTGAGGAAGAAGTGAAGGCTTACTGAGAGAGATAGATACCTACAAAAGCAATGGGGCCGGATAACATCTCTCCAGGGTCCTGATAGAGTGAGCAGAGGCGCTTATGAGTACCCAAACAACACTATTCAATACATATCTATCGAAACAGGGAAAATTGCCTGAGGCATGGAAGACAGCAAATGTAGTCATCAATCCTTTAAAAAATGAGAGACAGGAAGCACTAACTACAGACCAGTGTCACAGACATGTATAGTATGCAAAGTCATGGAGAAGAAAATCAGAAGGTGGTGAACACCTAGAAAGGAATGATCTCATCAACAGCAGCCAACATGGTTTCAGGGAGGGGGAAATCCTGTGTCACAAACCTACTGGAGTTCTAGGGCATGGTGACCAGTAAGACAGAAAGAGGGGTGGTGGACTGCTTTTTCCCTTGGGACTGCAAGAAAGCGTTTGATACAGTTCCACACAAGAGATTAGTGCGAAAACTGGAGGACCAAGCAGGGATAACAGGGAAGGCACTACAATGGATCAGGGAATACTTGTCAGGAAGACAGCAGCGAGTCATGGTACGTGGCGAGGTGTCAGAGTGGGCATCTGTGACCAGCGGGGTTTCCCACAGGGGTCAGTCCTGGGACCAGTGTATTTCTGGTATTTGTGAACGACATGACTGAAGGAATAGACTCCGAAGTGTCCCTGTTTGCAGATGATGTGAAGTTGATGAGAAGAATTCATTCAGACGAAGACCAGGCAGAACTACAAAGGGATCTGGACAGGCTGCAGACCTGGTCCAGCAATTGGCTCCTGGAGTGAACTCCAGGAGCCAATTGCTGAACCACCAAGTGCAAAGTCATGAAGATTGGGGAAGGGCAAAGAAGACCGCAGACGGATTTACAGTCTAGGGGGCCAGAGACTACAACCCTCGCTAAAGGGAAAAAGATCTTGGGGTGAGTAAAAACACCGGGCACATCTCCTGAAGTGCAAAATCAACCAAATAACTGCTGCAGCATATGGGCACCTAGCAAACCTCAGAACAGCATTCTGACATCTTAATAAGGAATCGTTCAGGACCCTGTACACCGCGTACGTTAGGCCCATATTGGAGTATCCCAGCCCCAGTTTGGAACCCACACCTAGCCAAGCATGTAAAGAAACTAGAGAAAATCCCAAAAGTTTGCAACAAGACTAGTCCCAGAGCTAAGAGGTATGTCCTACGAGGAGAGGTTAAGGAAACCAACCTGACGACATGGAGGACAGGAGAGATAGAGGGGACATGATAACAACATACAAAATACTGAGGGGAAATTGACAAGGTGGACAAAGACAGGATGTTCCAGAGATGGGACACAGCAACAAGGGGGACACAGTTGGAATTTTGAAGACACAGATGACTCACAGGGATGTTAGGAAGTATTTCTTCAGCCACAGAGTAGTCAGGAAGTGGAATAGTTTTGGAAGCTATGTAGTGGAGGCAGGATCCATACATAGTTTTAAAGGGCAGAGGTATGATAAAGCTCACGGTTCAAGGAGAGTGACCTAGTAGCAACCAGTGAAGAGGCGGGGCCAGGAGCTTGGACTCGACCCTGCAACCTCCACTAGGCAAGAAACAACTAGGTGAGTACACACACACATACCTCCACCTACATACATATACACACACACACCACACAGTACATGACCAGACCTTCAGCAGTGTTGCCGAGCTTCCTTGTTTTCACCAATCACCGAGATGTTTAAGACGTTTTTGAAAGAAGATAGTCTTAAGGCCAGGATGTTTCTTGCCTGTTTTGGGGGTTACACACCTGCAAAAAACAATTATCATCATACCAGACTGACTCGGGGGAAGAGCAAAACCTATAAAGATTGGGTATGAGAAAGATTATCATTCTTTTTTATATTTATAGGGAAGAAACTGAACTGCAAAGGAAAGTTGTACAGTGCCTGGAAAAGGGGGAGGAAAATCTGGTTTGATCCAGGGGAAAGAAAAGGTCCAAGTCCTTGAACCAAGAGCCCTTCACTTAATACTAATGTGGCTACTTCACATTAATATTAAGATAAAATAAAGATTTGTCAAAAAGTTACAACTCTCATCTTCTCTAGACTTAAGTAGTTATTATGTACTAGGATAAGTCTGCCTGAAATACCCTGGCATGATGGTGTTTTTTTTTTTTTTTTTTGTACTTAACAAATCAAAATTGTAAATAAAAATTTGGGCAACCTTGCAAAGAAATAAAATCTTTATCTTTAACCTTCAGATGTCATCTCCAGATGACTGCACGAATATGATTTCCTATACCCTCAGGCATTCTTGTCCTCATAGGATATGTGCAAATTCCAGTTAAATTAAAAATAATTTTCTTGGTAGAGTTTTTAAAAATAAATACAACAAAAGAAAATCAAGACATTTAAAGTGCTAGTTTATTATGGGATTTTGGTCTCCGAGAACTAGAGAATGCTTTTCATTCATCTAAAATCTTTCAATTGCTGGTGTAGCTTACTGAACTGAAGTTTGTAATTTGGGTTTTAGGATGTGTACGAGCCAATTTGGTAGCGCATGTAGCTCACACACTGATAATTCCTCGATTGTGACATGGCAACACTTGAGACATTCCATGGCACTATATAAGAGTCGGGTTTTTTAGGCTATGCAAGATAACCTCTACTATAAACAAGCCTAAATTTAATAAGCTGCCTCTATTATTTATCGAACGCCTCTAAGGTCCATGGTTCAACTCCCGGTACAGGGGAAAAATTGGGGCGTGTTTTCTTAACCCTTAAACTGTCCAAACGTAGATTACATTTTTGTCAACATTTGAAAATATGTAAAAAAAGTAGATCTTTTATTTTTTTTTACATTTGAAAACGTGTAAAGAAACTTTGATTTACTTTATTTTGTTATATTTGAAAATATGTAAAAAAAACTTTAGATCTACTTTTGGAGCACTACGCATTGGACGTAAATTTGTTTGGACTTTTTCAAGGGTTAAGAAACTGCTGTCCCTGTTCACCTAACAGTAAGTGGGTACTTGGGTGTTAGTTGACTGGCCTAGTTCACATCCTGGGAACAAAACTAATTAAATTCCCAAAATACTCTGCATAACCAGGTGCTTTCTATATAGTATGTCACTGATGTCACATAGGTCTGTACAATTTTGTATCGTTATGTAGATATAAATACAGTAGACCCGATTTTCGTGATTAATAACCGTTCCAGAGAGCCTGCCGAAAGTCGAAATTCATGAAACTAAACCATTTTCCCCAAAAAATAATGGAAATAAAATTAATCCGTTCCGACACCCAAAAATATTAAAATAATTTTTTTTTTTAAAATTTAAAATAAAGATTTTATACTGAAATCAATGAGAAATCAAGTACACGAATATAAAAAAATAATAACATTACACTTACCTTTACTGAAGACTTCTGGGTGGATGGAAGATGGGAGGGGGGGGGATAGGAGGAAGGTGGTACACTATTGTTTGGAAGGAGAATCTCCCCCCTGTTACAAAAAATGCGATTCAAAAAAGCTTAGAGATCTCCAGCGAATACTAGAAAGGAACTGCCCTTCTAGCATCCCAGCCTGTTACTGGGTTTTCGTAACAATTAGTCAGTATCCTGGTCCAATTATCCATTAAAATTCAATAAGAATTATTAGTGCTTCAGGATTACAAACTGGTAGGCTACTAACTAGAGAAATTAAAATTTAAAAAATTTTTATTAATAATTAATTTGTCTAGGCGTATAATCAAATTAAATTAAATAAATATCAACAAATAAGAATAATCATTCTTCCGGTACAGTATTAGTGTGCTGAAGCACATATCACATTTATAAGTTTAAAGTACCATCTGGTACATTAATATTTAATAATTACATATAAAAATTTAA